TCTTTTTGCTTATGTGGTGCTGAGGAATCGAACCCAGGGCCTCATGCATGCAAGGCAAGCGCTCTACCACTGAGCCACCTTCCCAGCCCCTGGGATTTTTTTTTTTTAAGAAACATTATGGTAAAAATAGGAAGAGTGTGAACTTCTCTAACCCCAGCCATCACATTCACAGCCCAAGCAGACACGGGGGAGACACAGGTCCCCACATCTGGAAATGTATGCCACCATTCCAGTTGCTTCCTGTTCACCAGAACTTGGTCATTTAGCCCCAACTCTTGTGAAGAAGGCTGGGAAATATGGTCGCCATTCTAAACTGTCTCAGCCTGGATAGAATTTGGTAGCTCTCTACCCAAAGGAAAGAGAATATGACATTTTGGAGGAGACTGATAGGGAGTAAGTAGCATGGACATTTGGAGCTAAAAATGGTCAACATTTGACCCTAAGTTACTCTCAAATGAGTACAACCTTAGTGACTAAATCCAAGAGATAGCTTTATTTCTGCTTTCTACATCCACCTTTCTGTGTAATGTGAGCTCCCAGTAGCCCATGCAAACATTGTCACCAAAGAAGAGAAAACCTCAGAGAAGAGGTTCCTTTTGATTGGTCCAGGGTCGCACAGATAGGAGCTATGAGGAGAGTGGAGAGTTGGATGTTTCACACTGGGTAGTTCTGAGCTCCAGGATGTTCACGTGCTAAAATGAGAGCTGACAATGTGCCAGGGAAAATGTCAATTTCCTAACCGATCAGGAGTTTGAGTTGCACGAGTTAAAGAAACAGTGTGTTGCAATTCCATCCTCTTTCTACCACGCTGACTATTTGCCAAGACTCTTCCTCAATTTTCCTCAAAAGAGTTGAGGATTTTGCTGCAAGAGATGAGCAAAGAGATGAACACAATCAAACTTAAAAAAAAAAAACTGCTCAAAGAGATGAGCAAAATCAAACCTGAGGCTGGCAGAGGGAAGGAAGGCAGCAACCGTCAGCTTGCTGGCTGGGCACGGAACAAAATTGCTGTTTCCCAGGGATTCTTATCATTTGCTCCAGACTGACATAGCACTGAAAGCCAATGCGGTGGTTGACTTAAAATTGTGTTTTAAACCTACCCTGCATTCTTTGTCTTTCCCAGCACATTATGTACACAACCGTGCTAAAACCACAATAATAAGGCTGTTCCCAAGAGCCTGGTCACCATAGACTTACAGGAGAAATTTAACAGAAAGGGTCAATAGACGTTTTACGGTAGATCCAAGTTGATCGTTTTGCTGAGTGTAGGTTGTAGTTGTGTGAGGATGTTGTGTGAGGACTTTTATCATGAGTGGAAAAGAATGAGCAAATAGGTGTATAGAAGTACTATACACACACACACACACTTAAATTTCTTGTCTCTTAAGGCTACAGTTTGGATCTTAGATGTCTCCCAGGGACCTATATTGTAAAGACTTTGGATCCATGGGGGAAGATGGTCCAAGCATTAGGGGGTAGGGGCTGTAAGGGGTTCTCAGGTCACCTGGAGCAAGCCCTTCCCCAGCATCAGAAGACCCAAGCCCCTTCCTTCTCTCCTTAGCTTCCTCTTCGGGGAGTGTGAACGAACAGGGTTCACACTCCTCGCCTAGTGTTTAAACCCCGTGGCAAGGCCCCAAAGCAACAGGTCTACCTACCCATTGCGGTGCAGAAGCCTGGATTCACGGCGAGCCCACAGAGACCCGGTTTGCAATAACTAGGATGTGTGTGGGTAGGACAATCCTTTCTCTTTTTTAGATCCGTTGTCCGGGGTGTTTGTGACAGTTGATGCAAAGCACACGCACGCACACGCACATGCACATACATGCACGCACACACACGCATGCACGCACGCACAAACGCACACACATGCACACACGCACACGCACACACGCACACGCACACACACATGCACACACATGCACACACGCACGCGCAGCACACACATGCACACATGCACACATGCACGCACATGCACACACGTGCACACACGTGCACACGCACGTGCGCACACACGCACGCACGCACACACATACACATGCACACACCCATGCACACCCATGCACATGCACACACAACATGCACACACATGCACACACGTGCGCACCCACGCACATGCACACACATGCGCGCACGCACACACATGCACACACATGCACACACGCACACACATGCATACGCATGCACATGCACACGCACACGCACACACATGCACACACATGTGCGCACACACACACACGCACACACACGTGCACACACATGCACACACGCAGCCAGGGGCCTCCCTCTGCGTTACACACCAGGCCAGGCGCTGCCCCACGCACAACCTGTGCTCCCAATGGACTGGGCGTTGGAAGGACGCGGTCCAGCCCAGGCCCCGCTCAGCGCCCGGGCAGGGGTGAGCGTGGCCGCCTGACCCTTGGTGCTCTCTGCTTCCCTCCCCCACGCAGCGGTGAAGTTCGGCAGGATGTCCAAGAAGCAGCGGGACAGTCTGTACGCCGAGGTGCAGAAGCACCAGCAGCGGCTGCAGGAGCAGCGGCAGCAGCAGAGCGGCGAGGCCGAGGCCCTGACCCGCGTGTACAGCGGCAGCCTCAGCCACCTGAGCGGCGAGACGGGCGGCGCCTTCCACGCCAACGGGCACGCCATCGACCTGCCCAAGTCCGAGGCCTACTACAACGTGGACTCAGGTCAGCCCTCCCCGGACCAGTCAGGACTGGACATAACTGGCATCAAACAGATCAAGCAGGAACCCATCTACGACCTCACCTCCGTCCCCAACTTGTTTACCTATAGCTCTTTCAACAACGGGCAGTTAGCTCCAGGGATCACCATGACAGAGATCGGTAAGTGCCAGTTTTCTCCTCCGAGGCCTCGGTCCCCTTCGGCCCAGGCCTTCTTGGCTTGGGTCTAGACGAACTGAAGCACTTACCTCCGTGGCTGCTTCTGCGGGGGGCTTCGGGGTTGTAAAAGATGAACACGGGAGGCTGAGATTGGAGGATCGCAGGGGAGGCCAGGCTGGGGGGCAGAGAAGGCTGGGATCCCCAGTGAACCCCTCCAAAACCAGCAGCGGAGCTGCGGGCTCCACGTGGTGGAGCTCTGGCTTTGAGCAGAAGAGCTCAGGGACAGCGCCCAGACCCTGGGTTCAAGCCCCACAACTGCCAACACATACGTTAACTACTTAATCCTAATAATGGCTATTTGGTACCTTGCCCCATAAAAGTTGATTTTAGGTAAAGAGAGAAAAGAACGTTAACTGTGAAGAAATAACAGGTGCTATGTGTTGAATCTGGTTTCTTACTGGTCGGTATCAATAGAACAACTTCAGCAAGTATCCAAAATGATGTTGTTCAGAGAGAGTTAGTGAAAACATACAGAAACCGTGTGGAATAACCAAATGAATAGTAGCTCACCATCCCTCCCCAATAACTGCACACATAGATCAAATACACAGTGCATCTGTTTCCTTCTGTGTGGGAGGGGTGGAGCACAAGACTGCAAAGGCTCTGCCAGTCTGCATTAAAGAACGAATATACATGGGGTTCTGAGCTAAAGCAGTTAAGAGAGGCTGGTCTGCCTGTTCTAGAACACAAGAATGCAGTTCAGGTAGTCACAAGCAAGACTACATAGCATCAACAATGTGGTCTTCTTTCAGCCATAATGCCTTTCCATTCATAGGGAGTGATCATCAAGGGCACCCCAGCTCTCTTCTGACCTTGTGTGCTTTGTTCATCCCTCACGACCCTCCTCAGTAATGGGATTGTATGTCCACTGCAGTCTGGAAAAACTAGACCAACAGTGGTCACACTTAGTCCCACCACTCAGGCAGGGTGATTCCAGAGTTCTCATCGTGGTCCATCCATCAACCTGCTACTTGCAAGGGGTTTAAGTGGAAGCACCTAATTTTCCTAAGAGAGCATGTAAAAAAGAAAGAGTGAGAGAGAGAGAGAGAGAGAGGAGAGAGAAAGAAAAGAGAGAGAGGAAAGAGATAAAGTAGGGAAAGAAAGAGAAAAAGAAAGAGAGAAAGGAAAGAGAAGAGAGAACAAAGAAAGAGAAAGAGAGAAAGGAAAGGGAAGGAAGGAAGGAAGGAAGGCCACCATCTTATTTACATTCAAGTTACTTAAAATCTAAGTTCCCCAGTACCCTTGATATAGAACATAAATAAATTCCGAATGAATTAATTATCAACAATGGTTGGACAGCCTTTGCCCTATACCCTGAGGGGAAGTCACTTAACTGTCCAGAAATCATGGTTTATTTGTAAGTTAGCATCAGTACAAAGTATTATGGGAAGAGAAATACAGCAAAAACCATCAAATGCAATTACATTGTCCGGACAGTACTCCCAAATTTAGCAGAGTCCAAAGCCTAAATAATAGCTTGGATTGAATTCTGTTAAAACAGCAATGCCACCTAGTGGACACAAACCCATTTCATGAGTATCTACCTAGGGAGATACCGCTGGACTATCCAAACAAAATCCCACTTAATTCACTAAAAGACTAAGTTCTTAGCCAGGTACCTATGGCTCATGCCTGTAATCCTAGCTACTCAGGAGGCTCAGACCTGGAGGATGGTCATTAGGAGACAGTCTGGGCAGAAAAGTCTTCAAGATTCCATCTCCAATTAACCAGCGAAATGCCAGACTGGAAGTATAGCTCTAGTGGTATAGCACCAAGCTGGAAGCAAGTGAGCTGAGCGAACATGAGACCCTGTGTTCAAGATCAGTATAGCCAAACATACACACACACACACACACACACACACACACACAGAGTTCTTAACAGGACTGTCAGAAAAACATTACTGGTATAGTGTATTGGTTAAGTTCTGAGGTCAGACTTCCAGAGTTTAAAACCTAGTTGTGTCTTTTCCCTTGGGAAACTCACTTGTGAATGCTTGTAAAGTTGCATCTACTTGTAAATGTCTTACGTGTAAATGCTCATGACTTTTCAGACATACCTAAGTGTCATTATGTAATAATATTACTGATATTATAGTTATTGCCTGATTAAGTTCACTAGTAATGGCCTGTATTTAATTCTTACTAAAATCTGAGTATGAGTTGAGTTCCAGTGGCTCACACCTGTAATCCTAGATAGTCGGGAGGATGAGATCTAAGGATTGTGGTTAAAAGCCAGCCATTTCAAGCAAATCCTGGAGACTCTTATCTATAATTTATCAACAAAAAGCTAGAAGTGGAGCTACTATAGCTCAAGTGGTAGCCTTGAACACAAAAGCTCAGGGACAGCACCCAGACCCTGAGTGCAAGCTCCAGGACCAGCACCAAAAAGAAAAAAAAAAACCTGAGTATGTGTTACATATTGGTCTGCCCATTTTTATATGTGGTTAAAACCAGAGAACACATTTGGTCCAAGAAACATCAAGCCCCATTACAATGTATGCCTTCCCATCAAACAAATGAAACTCCTTGCAAGCTAATTGTTCTAGGTGATATAAACTAGAGTTTGTAGCGTTTGCATGTGGACATTTCAGCTTGATTTGATTTGTAAGCATCAAAATCCAATCTAGTTGGTAACAAGTTGTCCCAGAAAGAACCCTGCACACATCAACAGAAAATCAAATTCAAGATTATATTACATCGAAGAAAATTTTTAACATTTTTCTTGGCTCCTAGAAGTCCCGATATGCCTTTTCTGTTTTCTGAGGAAGAATGAAACTTGTGCAATCAGATTTTTATACTAAGATTGAATTATCTTAACACCTTTTTAAGACCAATTTTTGGGATGTTGGACCAGTCAGGGATATCACCCCACAAAAACACATCTTTCTGTAAATGGCCATAGGAATTCTGACTGCCTAGGTTAAGATTCTGATAATAATGGTTAGTTTAGGAAGGAGAATGTAGAGAACCCTTTCCTGCATTCTGGTCATTTTTCAATGTCCACCATTCTCATGCTGATGAAGTAAATAAAGCTTTTCTTGCTGATAAAGAAAATAAGAGCTAGAAGCCATGAATAGGGCACAGAGTTAGTTCACTAGCAAAGCTGAGCTAAGTCATTTCACGACTCTAAATTTCCAGGCAAGCTTTCCAAATTAGCTTTTGAAATGTTCCAATCACTCAAGACAAACAGGCTTCACAACTTCCCTGGGCCAGGGACACCTGGCGAAATCAGTAATTGTGATTCAAATTTTCGTGGGTGGACTGAAGGCATATGGCAGAGTGTTTGCCTTGCGTATACAAGCCTGCAGTTACTAATCACAGAAAAGAAACTTCGGCATGGATGATTGAGAGGCTAAGGGGACCTCAGGTGAGGGAGGTGTGAGGATCCATTATCCTGAGACTCCTCTCACAGCAGGAAAGTTTTCTTTTCAAACTTTTGAGAATAGCCAAACAAAAGTACAGAAGAGAAAGAAAAAGCCGTGAAACATTTCTGGAATTACATCCTTGAGGTCTTCAAAATCCCCAAGGAGAAAGAAGCCATCAAATCACAGACAGAAAAAAAAAGCTGCAAATTAATATTTAGGCAGTAGTACTAATAGGGCTTGGCTGGAAACTTCCTTCAGGCCCACATGATGGATGTGTTGTATCTCCGGGAATAAGATTTTGCTGCAATTGGTGACAGAGAAAGGAAACTAGCTAAGGGATATTCAGCAAACGAGCAACGGTCTCTTCCTTTTTTTGCTTCTCTGTTATAGCTCTCAGATGATCGAGGGGGATTCTGTGGGACTAATACTCTTAATGAAAGCTCATTTAGGCTGAAAGGTGATTGACAATGTCTCTGGGAGGTATCAGACAACAAGACAATTCAAACAGCTGAGCAGCATGCTTTCATAAAACAAAAATGTCTCCATCAAATTAGCTATGATGTTGAGGGAATCAATTACCCTGAACCCACACCACCTGGCGGTTGGTAGTAGGCTAAGCAATCTTCCTTCCAAAAGGCAGATGTCTATTTTAGACAAAAATGATCTCATTGATGTTGTTCTATATAACGTTAAACATAGATTTCTTTTTAGTTTCCTTTTGTTTTCTATTTTATAAAGTCTGGAGTTTTAACTAGCAAAAAAAAAAATAGAAATAGGGCTGGGTACGGTGGTACAGTCCTGTAATACCAGCTACTCAAGAGTTGGGGATGGACTCCCAAGACCCTAAGGAAATAGACAAACAGACCATAGGTAGATAGACAGATATAGATAAAAGTAAAAAAAAAATTTAGACTAGAGCAAAACGTTGACACAATGCTTGTCTAACAACTACAAGGCCCTGAGTTAAACCCCCAGTGGTGCCCCCCAAAAAGGGGAGGGGGGAAAGAAGGAAGCCTCATTTTTCAACGTTACTTATTGCAGAAGCTGATGATTAATAGCTAAAGAAGATTACAGAAAGAGGTTGGCTTAGAAGATACCTGCAGCTTGTTACGGTACTATTTTCTGCTCAGGGCTATATGGAAATGTAGGCGATCTCACTAGTGGTGTTTTATTTTGCTGAATTCTATAAAAGCGGACGATGGTTCCATTCTTCACTATTAAGAAACCCAAATGGGCTGTTACGATCTCCTTTTATGACTGGTGCAGAAAATGGAAACGAGGGGAAGCCATAGGGTTTGGGTGAAGAGAGGACTGCTGGGAAATCCTGAAGGACGCTGGAGAACTTGCCTGCGGCAGGAGCCAGTGAGCAATCTCCCTGGGAGTCTGGTGGCAGTGACAGGTGGAGCTCTCATGGGGTTAAAAAGAAAGAAAAAAATCACCCCACTAATGACACAGTTAGTAACCACCATCACCTCAGAAATGAAAAGGGATATGCAAATTATATTCAAATGAACACTACAGGCAAGCAGGGACTGCTTAGGGGGCCAAGCCACTCCAAGTTAATAGACCACCCGTG